CAATATGGCTCCTCCCAAGAGGGCTTCCTGATGTTTGTTGTTATTATACATTAATAAGACAACTTTTATTATCCTCATTCTTTCATATATTTGCTGCCTTAACATTTGAACAATTCACTAACAGAAAATGTAGTTTCTTCAATTGCCCTGGTAATCAAGAATTTATGTTTTGGATAATTCATGTCACTTTAATGATCGAAATCTTACTTTCATGTTTTTTTGTTTTTGTTGAAATATCTTATCAACTTGTCTCCTACAGTTTCCAATGTGAAATCATGTCTATTCTAGGAGAAATATGATTAAAAATCTAAAAATAGAATTTGATTTACACTAGGTTTGTTAGTTTTATAACCAGGATTGACATTTTGAGTAGCTGGAACATTAGAATTTCCTTGGATTTAAGTTCTTTACCCTATAAAAGGTATTCTAGGGTATTGGTAGATAACATTATTACTGTTCTCAACTACAAGTATATTGGAATTTTCTTATTCTTTCTCTTGCTCTCTCTCTCTTCTTCTATTTCTCTCTCCTTTCTGCACTATTACTGCTATTGCCATCCGATTTTACTCCCGCTACTTTGACCATTTCTGGTCCATGTAGCCTTGTAAGTACCAGTTTCAGTGGGTAGAGGTTTTTAAGGGGTAAAACTATTTGAAGTCTCGACCAAATGAATTATTTTCATGTAAAAGAAAAACTTTGAAAAACATGTTTGCTTCATATGTCATGGCTCGCCCTCCTCTTCTCCTTCTATTAAATCATATGAACATGAAGAAACTGTGTTTTAGATTTTTTTTATCTCATGATGTGAGGTAGTCAACAAGCTACACGTTCAGGAAAATAGTCAGCTTCATTGAGAGGTAAAGCGCCTGAAATTGTTCCATATAGTGCGATGGGAATAATTTCAAGGGAATCAATTCAATTTCGATCAACTAAAATTAGTTTAAATGTGCAGCTAAAAGTTCTTTTATTCCTGAGCTCTACAAGAATCTGAGACATGAATATGGCTGATATTCATCTGTCAAGGTCCTACTATATTTTTCCTGCACCCTTGGTCACTCTTGGACCTCTGAAATATGATTCAAGATAGGAAAGAGGATAAAGATCCTCAGAA